CTTGGATTCTCAGGCAGCTGCCTTGCCAGTCGAACTCGTAGATGGCCCGGCGGTCAGGGACCACTGCCATGGGCGAGAACTTGGGACCTGGCGGTGTAGCTCCCGTGGCATCCCATGGCATTTGCTTCGACTGAAGTAACACGGTGACTTCAACGTGGAAGCCGTTACCTTGTACACCTTAAGATCTTCAAAAAAAGAGCTTCTGTAGAATTTGTTCAGGCTTCGATCTATGATTCGCCCTCTGAAAAAGACATAGTTTCCCAGCTTGCCAGCCCCATCAGGTCCCCACATGCCGGCGGCACCACCTCGCTTGTTCCAGTCTTTGGCGTAGCGGCTGTCCAAACACTTGGCGCAAGGGTCCAGGATACGCACGGCATTGGCCTGCCACAGCTGGCCATCTAGGTCTTCCAGTAGAGAGCTTAGAATAAGGGTACCCTTTCTTTTTTCTGTTGTCGATTTTAGTAGAGGAACCATCTATTTGTGTACCATTATTTGTCTGTTAAAATAAGGGTACCATCTATTTTAGTAGGAGAACCCTCCTCCAAAAAAGGGTAAAAAGGGCACTACTGGGGGACCGAGCCATTCTCTTGTCTCAAGCGGAAAACATGCTGTCTTGCAGGCCTACCTTTTGCTCGTGCACCAAGGTTCCAGCGTATTGCGTCTATCTGAACATGATCCACTCAAAAGGGCCACAACGCTAAGAGTGCGCAGGTTCGCATCCCTGCATAGTCGAATCAGCAATGCACTCATGCCTGCTCACAGTCTCAGATCGAAGACTCTCAACAGGCAACCACGTCGCTCTGAATTCTGCAAACAACCTGTGAGGACCGTGAATAATTCCATACGACTGGGCACCTGGTCAAGGATATCACCACAGAACATGGTATGATTGTCACATGCTGCGCATATGGGAGCATGTTTTGTGAATTTTGAGGGTCCCCTGTTTGGGTCGGTTTGAAGGAAAAGCAAAATGGGGGTTGATCAATATTTCCTTCGGCCCCAAAATGACCCTGGGCAACTTTCCCGTTTCGTGGTTGGAAAGTCGTGTCGCTTTTGATGGAATCCCTGATCCCATGAGGCCTCTGGAAGCCCATGCTGGTCCAACTTGGGATCCAGGATCCACCTGGCGCAACAAGGAATCACAGTTGGGACCACACATGGATGTGTGTCAGAAATCGGAGGTGTCCCCGATTTGTTGGTTGGCTTTCTGTTGGCTTTCCTCTAACCAACAAAGCCCAGATTGAGAAGCTCCGGGAGAAGGGTCTGAACCGACTCGCCGAAGCTGGGCGCCTTCTTAGAGGCGTTGCCTAGAGGGAAACCTTCTCCGAAGCCCTTACTGCTATTCTACGAAGGCTACAATCGCTAAGAAGCGCCCACAGCCTTCTGAGGCTATGCGAAATCTGCTGAGTGGGGGCAAGCTTTGCGGAGGGATTGGCCTTCTCAGAGCGTCTGAGAACAGAGCTTTGCTTGTGCCTAGTATTGAATGAACTATCCGTATCACGAAGCATGGAACACCTTTGGAAACCGGCAGTCAATACATCAAGCGGCTAGATTCAAACAGAAACATAGCCTCCCACCAGCGATTCCATGGAAGTGCACAGATGTAGAAAGACGACTTTCCTCGTGGAAAGGGCCTTTTTGCACTTCCATGTTAGTTGGCAAGAGGGTAGCGGACATAAATCCGTGAGGCCCTTGGCGACCACCCGCTTTTCGCCATAGCTTGAACTGTGACTCTTCCACAGACCTGACCCCAAAGTGTCCAAAGCACCTGGACGTGTGGGAAGTCTTGGAAGACGAGATACATCCGGCTTTTTACATCCAAGGTACTCAAGACTTGGTTGGCGTCGGAAGAGGAGCAAAAAGTTCAATCTTAGCAGTTAAGTGGACATTTCAACCCACTAAACCACAATAAGCCAAAATGTAAAATGTTTCCCAACAACAAGCATGAAGGGTCCACGCCTCAACTCCCTAGCGCCGCGTTAAAGCTGTTGCCCAAAGCAGTGGACAGTTTACTGGTTGCTTTCCCTTTGGCTTCGCTGAACGACGTACAAGGGTTCAAATCCAAATCCACCAATCCAAACCTGAGGCGCTACCTTACTCTTTGGACTCTCTGGGTCTCTACGACCTGCCAGCACCATTGGCATGGCAAAGGTAGCACCCATGGTCTCCCGAATCCGCAAGCAAACGCTCGCGGATTCGACCGACGGTGCGTTTGGCAAGTACCTTGGGGCACCGGGATATAACAAATACAGTTCGGCTGAAACGGAACAATTGCAGGCACAAGTTTGTCACAAGTTCTGCAACTCGTGTGAGAAAAACACATGTCCATAGGAAAACACGGCCAATGTTTGTGCCTGACGTAGCAGGTGGACTGACGCCCATTCGAAATTCGACATTCCCATCAGCCCCTCTAGCGGAATGCCCCGACATCAGCATGCAACCGATACTGATTCTGTTGCGCTCCTCCCGCACAATGTGAAGGCATGTGCCTGCAAACAAAACAGACACAAGCCGGGTTCCACTTGTTGACTACCCCAAGATAGACAAACCAGGGGTTCCATTTTTGGGGGTAATGAACCACCCCTGGGTTTGCATCTACCCTGGGCTCAAAAAGTGGAACCGGACACAAGACCACTCAATTGAATGAATTTCTGAGGGGCCGAAGGTCATATAAGCAAAGCCTCACGAGTGGGCTCTGAGGGCAAAAACAGCTGAGCTCAGTTTCTGCGCCCGCTGCCCTCCGGCTGACGACGCTTCCGAAGCCAAAAGTCGCATGACTTGCATATGAGAAGGTCGGATCAACTTTGCAACCACACAAAAAAGGTACTGTGGAAGGACTAAATCCTGCACCACTTTGACACCGTGGGACACCTGTACTTCTTGATATTTTACAGGGGAATCATCAGAAACCAGGGTTTCTTAGGTGGTGCGAAATGGATTTCGTCCATCCACAGTTATCCTGAAAACACATCGCCGAGGCGTGGCTTCGGGCCGAAGCCCACTTTTGGGGCTGGGAAACTCGCCGATGTGGACGTCATGCAAAGACGTGCCTCAAACCCCGCGGAAACTCGTTGGCAAACGCAGCTGTAAAAGAAACAGGTGTTTCGGTTCCGACTGGATCAAACAGGTCAGGTGCTTCGAGATAAAAGCCGCCATGAGGGCATGTGTCAGCTTTTCCTGACGCTTTGCAAGTGTACCTTCAGCCATTCCCTCGCTTTTCCGCCAGCAGCAAGGTGACTCATGACCCGTGGTACTCTTGGTTTGCCTTGGGAAGAGACTGCAGAGTGTCCTCGCGAGTCTTCGCATGTGTCTTTTGCGATGGAACTCGCGCGGCTTCGCCCCGAGATTCCAGGACATAGATTTGCAAGGCATATCAGACATGCCCTGCATTTCTCATGCCTACCGGGATCTGGCTCGGTCTGGCACAAAAGCTGACAGCTCGAATCTGGAGAGCGGATGACCCATAGCCAGCAGTCCAATCCTTGTGAAACTCACCTCGAGGCCTGGCCGGTGAAGCAAAGGAAACATTTTCTGGGTCCAAAGCGCATCACTTTTTACAGGCTATGGGTCAAAACCCAAATCGTACCCCCCGTGAGCATCCCAATCCCTGCTAAAATAGACTAAGATGGGTGGTGCACCTACCCCAAAATGGTACCATTGGTGCTGGCCCACCCCCATATTCCAGGAATCTCGCGGGTTCAAACCACAGAACTTGAATGTGCGCTAATCAACTCCGACCATTCCAAAGGTGATCAGCGCCATCTAAACATCAGGTTCCGGGCATGTCGTTTTACACCGACCCAAAATGGGATCCCAAAACGGTGTTGACAACCACAGCCACATGGCTGTTGTGAAAAAATAGGGTAAGCCCAATTTGGGTTGCCCTGGAAAGTGGCATGGATCCGCTTCCCAGCGCTCCTGCGAGATCCCGCGCGCCTCAGCGCCTGCGGCTGGGCAGGCCCGCGGCCACAGGTAGATGCACCAGTCCCAACCTGCGCCCACCGGATCCACCGGTTGCCAGCGGTTCGCGTGGACGAATCCATTCATGGGGGTCGAGTCACAGCCTGTATTTGGGTGTGGCTTAAAACTTCAGGGCCAGAGGACCGCCGGTGTTCGTCGACTTGTCCACTGACCAGGCTTCCATTTTGGGACATCCGATTCCTATGCTTGAGCACCCATTTGTCCCGTGGTAGACATAGATGTAGACTTACACTCCCACCAAATAACATGGAACCTGACGTTCAGGGGCTTCTGGCTTGCGAACGTCAGGTTCGGGACGGTGCATGGCCATGGGTCAAAATCCAAATCGTACCCCCAGTGAACATCCCAATCCAACCACTCAAATAGGTTCTAAAATGGGTGGTGAATTTACCTACCAACCACGGCCACATGGTTTCCAGTTTCCACTTCTAGGTCCTCCAGAAGAGAGATTAGAATAAGGGTACCGTTTCTTTTTCCTGTATCTAAATTGTAGGGGAACCCTCCCAACCAAAAAAGAGAAACGCTGAGAAAGGGCACCTTGAGGGACCTAGACGTGGAAACTCCTCACGTCGGCCCACGGCCCCGCGGGCCTCTCCGCCCGGCTGCTGCGTAAAGGCTCCAGGCGCCGCGACCGGAGCTTCACCGGCGCGGTCTCCAGCCCGGGCCTCGAGTTCGACGCGCCGAAAGCGGGCGGCGTTCGGAGGTCCGGCCGCGGAGTCGTCGCAGGGGTTCTGGGGGGATTTTCTGGGCTGTGAAATGGAATATGTCCCAAATAGAAAACACTAAAAGGCGAAGAAGCTAAGGAACTGGACGGCTGGGAACCACTGAGGATTGAAGCGTTTCAGTGGATTACCCTTTTTGTCCTGCGTCGAGTTGTTGAGGGTACCCTTTCCGCGGCTGGTTTGCAGGGAAACCAACAGGAAAACCGACGCCATTTTTCGGGGGGTCCCATGGGTCCCCTAACAAAGAAACACACCCGTACAGCAACCAGGGCTCCCTGGATTTCCCCGTACAGCATCCAAGTTCTTGTCGGAGTCGCCGATGAAGCTTTAGAGTCAACGTTCTTTTCTGAAAGGGAACACCGCTCCACATCTGGTGAACATATTTCAGCCGTTGATCCGTCACACCTGCCCATGAGTCAGACTCATCAATGCTCTCAGTCGTGAAGGGCAAATTACCTTCACGCCAATTCTCCCATTCGACCATCTTGCACAGCGAAGTACTGCCACCCAAAAGTCCACCGCCTTCAAACCGGGCCAAACCCCCACCCAAGCCCCGCGACGAAGCAAGCGCAGTCGCCTCGGCAGGTTAGCATCGGGCAGCAGGGTCCGGTGCTTGGAGCTGGGTCTTGAAGCTCGGCCCAGACCGTCCGCGTGGGATGCGGCCGCGTGGTTCGCATGGGCGGAAGCGTGTGCCGCATGGGGCACATGGGGCACGTGGACGTGGGGCACCCCGTGGGCCGTGTGGTCCAAGTGCATCACCACCTAAAGCGATCCGATGGGTTCAACGGCTCCTTTCTGTTGCTTGGTGTCCACTGGTGACGTGCAACAGACACCCGCACTGTGGTAATTCATCCTACATCTGGCAGGAACCTTGAGATGTTTGGAGTTTGGGTTTGATAAACTCAAAGAAATTCAGGTAGGATCTGCCTGAAGCCTACCCGCGCAAGGCTAAAAGGTCAACCTGCTGCCCCCTCTTGCTACTGTACCCCAATGAAACTTTGGGGAAAGCCTTGATCAACTGCCACAAAATTATACGACTCGCTTGGAATTGCTTCGTGTTTGCTCCTATGATAGTCCAAGATCCAAACCCAAAGCGTGCCTCAAGCAGTCCACTTGCCACCGCAATCATCAACACTGAACCGCCTGCTGTATGTCTTGGCCTTCCTGGCACTGAATGCTGGAATTGGAATGCTAGACAAACCCCTACCAAAATGAGCATCTGAGACATTGTGACTGTGTGGTGGTTGCAGGGGACAACCCTTCATGAAGCATTGTGAGAATCAGGCATGGCAGCGTGCAAATGCCTACAACGTAGCTTGGTACATGAATATTGTGTCTGAGGATACAAATTCAGACCGCACTCTGCGAAGGCTGTGGGAGCCAACTTTGAAACTAAACAAGCTTCTTCCTTGCTGGTCCT